GCTTAATTAAAGATACTTTATGGGAAATAAAACAAATAGCTGGCAGTTCTCACTATAATAGTTAAAAAGTAGATAATGTAAAGGCAATTTGCTGAAAACTTCAGTCAAATTGATCTACTATGAACCGAGAATTAAGCGATTGAAATTTCGGCCTAGCCTCGATCATCATTACTAAAGTCTGTACGAAAGAAAACATAGTCTCAATCATCTATTTCATGATTAAATTATGAATGGAAGTCGAGGAGCAAATAGGATCATAATCCAGTAAATATCGTAGTCTAGCGATGCCATCGGGAGTTGATTATGGTCTGGATAAGTTAATTAATGTCTATTTAATAATTTAGATAACATTTCAGGCCTAACGAAAGACCTTCAATTGGCAGATTTAGCTCTTGCATAATGTATGTTTAAATTAATATTAAAATAAGCCCCCCCACCACAAACCTTATTGTTTTAATTGATTAAAGAAGGAGCCTCAGAAATTATATTTCAGTAAATAAAAGCTATTAATTCTTAGGCCCCCCCCCCCCTCCCAACCCCAACCATCTCTGTGATACATTTTCAAGGAAATACTAACATCCAGTCAAGTTGATTTGGAGACACGCTTCTATGCTAGCAGGGGATCACGCTGGCTTAGTGGGTAACGCGCTGGCTCGCTAGCCTGGAGGTCGGGTGTTCGATCCCTGCATTGGCCGAGAAAGTTCATCCAGATTTTCCGGCGTGGTTTCCCCTTGTCAGCGATGCGGGACGGAGGGCCTGACAAGGACAACTGTCTAGTCGTTCGGATGGGACGAAAACTCGAAATGAAATGGGGTTTAACGTCCAACTGTTCTGCTCCTAAACTGGGCTAATGAAGACGGGCATACGCCATACAGTGTGCTATCAGGGAAATTTTGCCAGGGCAGCGGCACTATCGCCTACTCTTATATCGAATTCCAACTGCCAAGGGATCTTTTACGTGCATTCCAATGTATACACGGGACCTCGGTTTTTCGTCTCATCCGAAGGACTAGACAGCTGTCCTTGTCAGGCCCTCCGTCCTGCATCACTGACAAGGGGGAACCACGCCGGAAAATCAGGATGAACTATCTCGGCCAATGCAGGGATCGAACACCCGACCTCCAGGCTAGCGAGCCAGCGTTTTACCCACTTAGCCACAGGATCCCCAGAAATTGACACAAATGGGTCGCAACGCATATAATAATGTAATATGAATGTAAATAAACTGATATATATTCAATTGTTTCCGTTTTTACTCCAATTTCAAATCATTTTTGTTCGGCGAAATACGCCAGAAGTGTCAATCGAATGGCTATTCCGGTCTACGCCGATAGTATTTATTGCGCATGCGCTCCAGATAAGAATATGGCTTCACCGTTTGACATGACTTGTGGAATATGTCTAGCCTCGTTCTTCGAGTCCTTTATTAAAAATGGCGCTGAAACGCATTATGGTACACGATTCGTGTACCAATCGTGTACCAATGGTAAAATGTTTATTTTTTCTTAAATATTGGATATCAGAAGCCCATCTTCTCCAACACCAATGTTGATTTAAATTGACAAATAATCCGTGTTTTCGATGTCGAAGACTTTGGATGATACTGAGTTAGAGACTTAACTACCTTAAGATCTTCCCGATATATCTACCGCCCACTCTTTGTCTAATTCAAACCGTCAAGGGTTCTTTTACGTGCACCGTACCATGTACACTGGATCTCGGTTATCGGTCCACTCCGAACGACTAGACGTCCTGCGCCACCAGCAAGGGGAAACCACGCTGGAAAATCCCAATGGTGCATTCTCAGCCAAACACCGGGATCTCTGCGAAATAAAAGAGGTTTCACTTCTCAAAGAACGAAGAGGCCACCAATTTTTAACTCTCTTATAAACCTGTGACGATAAATCCCTTTGATCTTTCCGGGGTTTTCTATGCCCGGGATAACTTTCAAATGTGTTATTTTAATTTAATCAAAGTTCAATGTATCAATGTGTATTTCAAACGGTTTATAAGTTAGATAAAGCACTCGATAGAAACCCTCGATAGAAATACAGCCGATCGTCCTCGCTTTTTCTGTCATCTCGGGTTCTTCCTCCGGGTCTTTCTTTCCACAGCATAACCTCAGACTCGCGCCTATCCATTACAGAAATGGTTTATGAATTACCTAACCATGAGAACTTAATGGTACCTGAGCAATGCGATCGGTGGAATTTTCCCTGGTAGTACCGTTTCCACAACCTAGGTGTGCACGAAAAAGAACCTTTTCCAATTGTAATTCGACTAAGAGTAAGCGAGGAACCGGCGCTGTGTGGTTAAAATTTCCCATACAGCACACTGCATGGCGTGTGTTCGTCTTGATTAGCTCAGTTAGTGATGTTATAGTGTATCTTTGTATATATTTTATGATATAATTTTAGTTATGATAGTAATCGACCAATGTCCGAATTGGTATCTCACTAATCTTTCGAGTCCTTTAACTGTTTGGTTTTAAACTTAATGTAACGATATATATTATGTAATTATAGTTAACACGCGTTCTTGCTATGTCGATATCTTCTTCTGTATTTAAACATCTGTTTCCTATTTACAATTTAACATCTCTGATCAAATATTATTATATAATAATTTTAATCCTAAGCTTGTATATATGTTCTATATTCTACTGTAACTTTAGTCTGGTGACCGGCTCGCCCTAGCGATACCTATCTCGTTATTGTGACCGTTAGCCAGTTTTGGACACTCGTTTATTAAAAGTACAATCTTAACTATTTATCTGAGGTTTTCGTCGTTAGTGTTGGAATAAGCTACAGCCCCAAGAAAACAGCACTTCGGCAGTGACAAAGGACGACAATCCTAATTTCGTTTTAATTCCGAGGAAAAAGACGCTGGTTCGCTAGTCTGGAGGTCGAGGACAGCTGTCTAGTCGTTCGGATGGGACGGAAAACCGAGGTCCCGCGAACACATTGGCGTGCAGTTGGAACTCGATATAAGAGTAAGCCGTAGTGCCGCTGTCCGAGCAAAATTTCCCTCATAGCACACTGTATGGCGTATGCCCGTCTTCATTAGCCCAGTTCGGAGCAAAACAGTAGCACGTTAAACCCCATTAAAGTGTGTCTTTTCATTTTACGTCCGCTGTACATCAAAGCATATGCCAAGTTCATATAGGACGACTTTGTCATTTGGATATTTGATGTCGACACTTCATGAATGTTATATTGCCTGTTTTGTATTACTGTATTATATTAAACCATCTATTTAATTGAACACGTCATCCAGAACATCGCGTAAAAGGTATTTTAGAACAAAAAATCTGATAGAATAATGACTTGTTTTATAGAAGCATTATTAACTATTCAGTCCACCAATCACGTGGATTCATTCTCTGGATTCTACTGTTTTACATCAACCGGGCTAATGGGAAATTTTATATCAAACGGGCTAAAGGGAAATTTTGCCCAAGCAGCGGTTCCGCCTTTTCTTTCTTGAATACCTGTCAGGTGTTCTCTCTCTCTCTCTCTCGCTTTATGTTTTAAAGGGAGCCACGGTGGCTAGATGCTGGCTCGCTAGCCTGGAGGTCGGGTGTTCGATCCCTGCATTGGCCGAGAAAGTTCATCCGGATTTTCCGACGTGGTTTCCCCTTGTCAGTGGTGCAGAACGGAGGGCCTGACAAGGACTGCTGTCTAGTCCCTCGGATGAGACGAAAAACCGAGGTCCCGTGTATACATTGGAATGCACGTAAAAGATCCCTTGGCAGTTGGAATTCGATATAAGAGTAGGCGATAGTGCCGCTGCCCGGGCAAAATTTCCCTCATAGCACTTTGTGTGGCGTATATGCCCGTCTTCATTAGCCCAGTATAGGAGCAGCACAGTAGGACGTTAAACCCCATTTCATTTCATTTCATTTATGTTTTAAAATATCTTTATGTTTAGATATATATCTTTCGTAACCTTCACTGAAGTAAATAAAATTATTATTTAGATCATCTCTCATTATTCACGTGTTCTTTTCTCTAGGTAGATTCAAGGAGGGAGTGGGTTGATTCGGCGAAATGACGCATCGAATTACCTTTTAGAAATATTCTCAGATATACTAGAAAATGGGCCTTCGATTTAATCATTCTACAATTTTTTTCAAGAGGCGGAAGGAGATCCCCCCACCACCACGCACCCCCCACCCCTACATTTTTTGTGCCATTCTGGACTGTCCGTACACGCCACGCCCTTGTATCAGAATCAATACAAACTGGAACTAATGATTTGGTTGCCCATACTAACGACCACGGGACTGCCCGTACTCGCCACGCTCTTGTGGTAGAATCAATACAAACTGGAACCAATGATGTGGTTGCCCATTCTAACGACCTCTGTGGAAATTAGCAGACACTGCTTACACAAGTAGTAGCCATTTTTTACTTGTGAATATCGTCTTCGTAAAATAAATCAAGGGCGGGTCCAGGGGTAGGGGATATACCTCCCCTCCCCTCCTCAGCTACATAAAAAAAATGTGAAACAACACTTTTTATGAGTGTCACGGTCTTGTGCTTTATCCCGTATCATCAGATGTTGGGATGGGATAGGCATTGAAAGCGCGAGACATGATCCAATTAATTCATAATAAAAACTGACGTCAAACGGTGTGATGGATTTCTCTCAGTGTGTATGTTAAACAAAACCCAAAACTAAAAAATATTTAAAAGTCGTATATGGGCCACCGTATATGTATGTCCACGTAATTGTCAACTGTCAAATTTCCTTAACAGGAACCTGGCAAACCCCCTCCTGCAAAACTTCCTGGTTCCACCCCTGTAAATCTGTATTAAAAAAGGTAAACCCAACCTGTTTAGCATTTGAAAAAAAACTGATATAAAAAAAAAATAGAACATACTTTATATCTACAATTTCATTTATATAATATTTAATAACTAAAATATATAATATTGTTATAAATACTGTACTGTAATCTATAGAAATTATAATATGTAATATATCATTTCTTTAAAGCTAAAGTATTTCTATATACACTGGAATAGCTTTTAATATAAAAGACACAAAAAAATAGAAGAACATATTTTTATATCTACAATTTCATTTATATAATACTTAAAGATACATTATGGGAGATTTTTATAGAGAGTTGGCCATTCTTGCTATAACAGTTCAAAGGTAGATGATGAAAGAAGAATATATTGAAAAATTCAGTCAAATTACTTTATTCTGAACATAGTTATCATCGTTGTAATATTTGCCTAGAAATGGTAGCGAATTGTGTCTTCACCTTCGCTGATCGTTTGATTGACAGGCGTTAACTCCACCTACATTTCTCGATTATCAAGTAAAGTTTTCAATGGCATACGGAAACGCTTTACAGCGGCCTCGCTAAGTACACTCTATCATTTAGCCTCGATCTAACAGACGTATTTTCATCAGGTTACCCCTTATCTGATTTAATCAATGAGTGAAATCCTATTTAAATCCGAGCTATAGCCGAGCCATCCGTGGGTCTACAGAGTTGATTTTGGTCTTGTTGTTTAAATAAAGATCTAATTTATAATTTCTATAACATCTGAAGCCTAAATTAAGACTTGCAATAATCAGATTTAGCTCTTGCATAATGCATGTTTAATAACTAAATTATAATATTGTTATAAATATTGTATTCTAATCTATAGAAATTATAACATGTAATATCATTTCTTTGAAACGTAAATCATTTCTTTGAAACGTAAATCATTTCTATATACATCGGAATACCTTTTAATATAAATACATACAATCGCGTATTGGTCCTATACAAAATATTCATGATTTACCTATTACATCACATATCTATTTTTAATTATACATGTACATGTATATCTATTTTTGGTCTGCCATTAAGTCAAGTGGCGCGGTTTCGAACTCCCGCTTGCACGTGACAAGGAGTAGGGTCGCCTGTCAAACTATGTGGGTTTTCTCCGGGTCCTCCGGCTTCCTCCCACTTCTAAAAACCCCTACGCGCAACCGAATTATTGAAATAAAAGTGAAACATATGTTACTCCCGAAATGACGTAGTTTGTGCCGAGAGGACGTTAAACCTCATCTCTCTCTCTCTCTCTCTCTCTCTCTCTCTCGATAGCGTTTATCAACTTTCCTTTTTAAAAAAACTCCACAAACTTTATCGAATATTTCTACTGGGTTCAACCGAAAGGTTAACTATTTGGCTTAAACTTGATCCATATCTACCGTAACTTAATTCGCCTTTGACAGTTCATATTCTAATTTATGCCAAAATAGTTTATGATTCATTTGAATATAATTTTGTCGGTTTATATAAGTTTTTATTGGTTCAGTTTCAATGTCTTCAAATTTTGTTGGACTGTCAAAAAGCACGAGGATAACTTTACCAGCAATTTGATGCCCCATATAAAATTCTTCCATACACCATTCCCTGTCTAAAATACTATCATCTAGAATAACTAGAATGTTTCTACTAGATGCCATGGCGTTGGTAATCACGTCTGCTATACTATCACCAGGGATGTCATCTTTAGGCGGATAATAACACGTCTTTTTAAAGTTCTCTAATTTGGGTAAAAGCTTTTTTGTAACCCAGCCTATTATTTTAGGATTTTGTCTGTTTGATGAGATATATACATCAGTAGTAAAAACTGGTTCATATTCGTGAATATCGAATGGTTGTACTTGTTTCGGTTTATCAAAGGGTCGAACTCCAAATATATGATACAATAGAACACTCGTTTCATATTTCCATTTATAAACCACTACGACAGATATAATAATTACAGATAATAAACAGCCTAAAAAAAAGCAGGCTATTAATAGTTTGTCTCTATAACACGTTAGACTATTGTATGTAACTGATTGCATATACTGTACATTACCATTCGCTGTACATCTCAAATTAGTTTCGTTTAATTCCTTTAACCATTCATTCATCCACAAAGTGTCACAAGAACAGACTAAAGAATTGTTCTCTACTCGAACATCAGATAACGGTAATCTTAGATTTCGCAATGTGATAGGCAAAGAAGTGAGGAAATTGTTACTTATATCTACGAATTTCAATATTTTACTGTCATCAAAGAATTTAGGATGGATGGATGTTAGTCTATTATGAGAAACATCCAATCGAGTTAAAGCATGAGCGTACCTTCTTGTGACTATTTTTTCTATCTGATTGCCAGAAACATTTAAAGAAATCCGTGGGTATTTTGGTAGTCGGTCTGGTAGTTCTGTTAGATTTTTGACCATACTGCAGTCAACTGCTAATAAACTCTCTGCAGGCCGATCCTGACATAAACATCCCATAGGACAATCTTCACTTATATTGCAAATTAATTTATCCGTATTTTCCACTAAATAGCCGAACGATCTGTTTTGTAGATCTGGTGGATCTTGGCAATAAAGATATTCTCTGGCTTGGTCTGTGTAGACGCTGTTATGCACATTATGAGCAACATTGTAAAGTGAACAATCACAAAACCACGGATTATTTTTTAATTCTAGACGTAAAATTGCTACACCCGATGGGGTATTAGCATTTAATGCCTTAATACAACCTGCGAAATCTTGAAGGTTGTTAAAAGTTAGATCAACTTTAAAATTCTTCTGTTGCCCCGGTTCCATTCCAACAGCTTTTCTGAAATACGATATGTTGTTATGTGACAAATTGAATGTATATCCCTCGGTGGATATGAAATTGAAACTTAATGATGATAGATCTAAATCTATAGGACAACCTGATACATCGCCAGGGTTTATAGACCTGGTTCTATAAGGCCAAGAGTCGAAATACTCCAAATTATTAAAAGAAATGTCAACGTTTTTCAGATAAACTAAACCTTCATGAAACAGTTCCGATCCCATGAAACTTATTTGATTCCGCGAAGCATCAAATGTCTTAATCCTCAGCACCTCGCCTTGTCTCCCCAATAATCCTGAGGGTAGCTGTTTAATATGGTTTCCACTTATGTCTATTGTTTGTAAACATTTGGCATCCATAAAGACGTCCTTGTCTAAAGAGGAAATATTATTAGAAGATAACAGGATACTTCTTAGTTTCGGTAAGGCCGTAAAGAATGACCTTTGAACCTGTTGGATATGATTATAACTTAAATCTAAATGTATTATATGATGTCGTATTGACGTTAATGAAGATGACAATAAAGTTTGTAAATCTGTTATAGAGTCATTTGACAAATCAACGTCATAAAACACATCCACGCCGGAGAGATTGCTTGGAAGGTCATGACGGTAAAGTTTAACCACCTCCGGATTATCGTCACACCCACAATCATCGCTTGATACTACCAGATGAGATATCATAGAGAAGCACGTTAACAACAACATGTAAATCCAATCCATGGTTAAATCCTATAATCCGATTTTAAAATGAATCACAAAAACTTCTGGGACTCTACGCTCGCTTCCACCTAGGGGTATTTCGTAGACAAGCAATGGCAATTAAACATATCAAGCATTTACAAGGTTATTATTGACAATGAACAGAGTGTTAGCCATTTCGTGTCATATGTGAAGCACGCTGTATATCATAATCACAAAGTTAATACACCTCACAAAAGTTGAATCGTTTGTAAAGTAATCATAACGTGTATGGTATAGTAAATTGTCGAACACTTGATTTCTGTATAATAAATTTGTTACTATATATACTATACTATACGGACACAGATCACTAAAGATTTCCCCATTGACTCCAATGTTAATTCTCGTATCTTAGACCGGCTCTAACTTTTTCCCAAATTTTCGTTGGGTAGAACGCTTTCTACCACAGATGGAGCAACATGTGGCAACCACTTGCCCAAAAGCACGTATGAGGTTCTTCATGAAAAACTTGAGATACACAAGCTGGAAGTAGAGACAAATAAACATGCAATTTCAGGCCCTACATTTCAACCTAACCAACCTCTCAACTCTTGTATCCTTCCGCATCAAAATTATGAATATTCACCAAAACCTGGCAGAAAATGTATGTTCAAACCCTTTTCCTGGATTCTACACCAAAAAGTCAACAAAAATCGCCATGCAAAAGGGGGAAAAAGGAAAAGGGAGAGGAAGACTAAAAATAGCTTCGGCCCTTGTTTCGTATATTTGGTGATCTGTGTCCATACTCAACGTATGGTTTCTTATTTACTTCCGTCTTTGTTTATATCCCTGCATAGTGAATATACATGTACTATGCAACTGTAACCCAGTTCGTATACTTATCTATATTCCAGGCTATTTAACATCAAATTTAAGTCCTTTAAATTGTCTTAATTAGATCCAATAGTTACAACAAAGGCACATACAGTGAATTAAACAAACATGAGTCCAATATCATCCCGGAAGAATAAACTTGTTAAAACTCTAGTACGTAATGCGTCAAATGGATCAGCAGGATAAATATATGTCAACCCGCTCTACATTATGTTGATATTGAGTGCAAGCATTTCAAGGATATTAGATCAAATTTTTACCGTTGTCAGTCAATACATCACATGTTTGCCCAACCGGGTTTATATGGTAAAGTGTTAGACTTTTTAAAGGAGACAGGATTTTATCATAAATTTTAATTGTATATATATCATTTCATTTTTGTATTTAATATTTATATGCATAAAAGTTGTATTTTATTTTTAATTTTACTAACTGTGATATTGTTTTTATTTATGCATATAATGTTTTTCTGTGATATAATTTAGCCTGTCTTGTAATATTCACCATATGTTTGGCGCAATATAGCCCGGTTGGAGCTGGCGTGCCATAAAACCACATTTCATTTCATTTCATTTACATTATGTTGATACTAAAAATAGATAAAATTGGCCCTGTTATGATGTTCCAGTTCGCGCAGAGAGAGAGATAGAGAGAGAGAGAGAGAGAGAGTAAAGTAATTTAACAATCAGTAATGATCTGTTGACAATTTGGTTGGTATGATGCCGTTCTGTAGTATAACTGTCTGAAAAGAAATGAAATGGAATGGGAGAGAATTGGACACAAACTAGGTCATTTCGGGACTAACACATGATTCAATTGTCTTTAGCAGTGGGAGGGCAGGCGACCTTACTCTTTGTCGAAACCACGCCAGTTGACTCAAAGACAGACCTTATGAGACACCGCGCACGTGCTAACCATTCGGCCATCTAACCCCCAGAGAGAGAGAGAGAGAGAGAGAGAGGGGAGAGAGAGAGAGAGAGAGAGTGATGTGGGTAATGTCCACACAACACCAAACAGATTATTTCCATTAATCACTTGCGCGTAGGGGTATTTATTTAGAAGTGGAAGGAAACCGTAGGGCCCAGAGTATACCCACGAGGTTGGACAGGCGACCCTACTCCTTGTCATGTGGCAACCAAACTACACTCATGTGAAATAGAAATGTATGTTTAATGTTTTTCTTATTTTAATGGTAATAATATCAGATCATATCTGGACTAACATATGGTTCAATTTTATTTCAATAATTCGCTCACGCGTAGGGGTCTTTAGCACTGGAAGGAAACCAGAGGGCCCGGAAAAAACCACGGCGTAGGACAGGCGACTTTACTCATTGCCACGTACAAGCAGGGATTCACTGAATGACAGACCTTGTGATTCCACGCGTAAGCGTTAAACCAATAGACCCCCAACCAGTCGCCATATGGATAGAGAGAGTGAGAGGGATCTGCGTCTACTAGACACACACTAGGTCATTTGGGGACTAACATATGGTTCAATCGCAGAATCGAAACCACACCACTTGATCCAATGACAGACCTTGTACAATAGAAATGTATATTATTTGAATGATACAATTCATTAAAATTTTAAAACTATATTATTATATTCTATTGAACAGAATAAATGATACCAGAGTATTGACTCGATATTTTACGGTCTGCGTAATCAGGATTTAATTAGCCACGTGCTTAGCCGAATGGTTAACACGTGCGTGCTGTATCATAAGGTCTGTCATTGAGTCAACTGGCGTGGTTTCGAATCCCCGGTTGTACGTGACAAGGAGTAGGGTCGCCTGTCCAGCATCATGGGGTTTCTCCGGGTCCTCCGGTTTCCTCCCAATGCTAAAGATCCCTACGCGTTAGCGAATTATTGAAATAAAATTAAAGCATACGTTAATCCCGAAATGACCTAGTTTGTGTCGAGTGGACGTTAAACCCCATCTCTCAGCCTGTATAGTCATCAGCCTGTATACTCATCAGCCTGTATATTCATAAGCCTGTATACTCACCAGCCTGTACAGTCAGCCTGTATACCCATCAGCCTGTATTCTCATCAGCCTGTATAATCAGTCTGTATTCTCATCAGCCTGTATAGTCAGCCTGCATACTCATCAACCTGTATATTCAACCAAATCGTTGAATTATAGTTCGTTCATCATATATATTCTGGGGGGGTTGGATGGCTGAATGGTTAGCGTTCGCGCTGTATCATAAAGTCTGTCATTGAGTCGACTGGCGTGGTTTCGAATCCCCGGTTGTACATGGCAAGGAGTAATGTCGCCTGTCCAACCTCGTGGGTTTTCTCCGGGTCCTCCGGTGTCCTCCCTCTGCTAAAGATCCCTGCGCGCAAGCGAATTATGTAACTAAAATTAAACCATATGTTAGTCCCGAAATGACATAGTTTGTGTCGAGTGGACGTTAAACCCCATTTCTCTCTCTCTCTCTCTCTCTCTCTCTCTCTCTCATATATATTCTATCATTGACATTGGTCGTCTGTCCAACCTCGTGGGTTTTCGCTAGGTCCTCCAGGTTTCCTCCCACTGCTAAAGACCCGTATGCGCAAACGAATTATTGAAATATAATTGAACCATATGTTAGTCTCGGAATGACCTAGTTTGTGTCGAGTGGACGTTAAACCCCAGTCAAGACGATTTGGAGACTTAGTGGGTAAGACGCTGGCTCGCTAGCCTGGAGGTCTGGGGTTCGATCCCTGCATTGGCCGAGAAAGTTCATCCGGATTTTCCGACGTGGTTTCCCCTTGTCAGTGGCGCAGAACGGAGGGCCTGACAAGGACTGCTGTCTAGTCCTTCGGATGAGACGAAAAACCGAGGTCCCGTGTATACATTGGAATGCACGTAAACGATCCCTTCGCAGATGGAATTCGATATAAGAGTAGGCTATAGTGCCGCTGCCCGGGCAAAATTTTCCTCATAGCACACAGTATGTCTTATACCCGTCTTCATTAGCCCAGTATAGGAGCAGAACAGTTAAACGTTAAACCCCATTTCATTTCATTTATGTTTAAAAATATCTTTATGTTTAGATATATATTTCGTAACCTTCACTGAAGTAAATAAAATTAATATTTAGATCATCTCTCATTATTCACTTGATCTTTATTCTAGGTAGATTCAAGGATGGAGTGGGTTGATTCGGCGAAATGACGCATCGAATTACCTTTTAGAAATATTCTCAGATATACTAGAAAATGGGCCTTCGATTTAATCATTCTACAATTTTTTTCAAGAGGCGGAAGGAGATCCCCCCACCACCACGCACCCCCCACCCCTACATTTTTTGTGCCATTCTGGACTGTCCGTACACGCCACGCCCTTATATCAGAATCAATACAAACTGGAACTAATGATTTGGTTGCCCATACTAACGACCACGGGACTGCCCGTACTCGCCACGCTCTTGTGGTAGAATCAATACAAACTGGAACCAATGATGTGGTTGCCCATTCTAACGACCTCTGTGGAAATTAGCAGACACCGCTTACACAAGTAGTAGCCATTTTTTACTTGTGAATATCGTCTTTGTAAAATAAATCAAGGGTGGGTCCAGGGGTAGGGGATATACCTCCCGTCCCCTCCTCAGCTACATAAAAAAATGTGAAATAACACTTTTTATGAGTGTCACGGTCTTGTGCTTTATCCCGTATCATCAGATGATGGCATGGGATAGGCATTGAAAGCGCGAGACATGATCCAATTAATTCATAATAAAAACTGACGTCAAACGGTGTGATGGATTTCTCTCAGTGTGTATGTAAAACAAAACCCAAAACTAAAAAATATTTAAAAGTCGTATATGGGCCACCGTATATGTATGTCCACGTAATTGTCAACTGTCAAATTTCCTTAACAGGAACCTGGCAAACCCCCTCCTGCAAAACTTCCTGGTTCCACCCCTGTAAATCTGTATTAAAAAAGGTAAACCCAACCTGTTTAGCATTTGAAAAAAAACTGATATAAAAAAAAATAACAAGAAAATAGAAGAACATACTTTATATCTACAATTTCATTTATATAATATTTAATAACTAAAATATATAATATTGTTATAAATACTGTACTGTAATCTATAGAAATTATAATATGTAATATATAATTTCTTTAAAGCTAAAGTATTTCTATATACATTGGAATAGCTTTTAATATAAAAGACACACAAAAATAGAAGAACATATTTTTATATCTACAATTTCATTTATATAATACTTAATAACTAAATTATAATATTGTTATAAATATTGTATTCTAATCTATAGAAATTGTAATATGTAATATCATTTCTTTAAAACGTAAATCATTTCTATATACATCGGAATACCTTTTAATATAAATACATACAATCACGCATTGGTCCTATAAGGGTAAGTTAAAGATACATTATGGGAAATTAGATAACGAGTTGGCAGTTCTCACTATAATAGTTAAAAGAAAGACCTGCAATAAACAGATTTAGCTCTTGCATAATGTATGTTTAAATATATAAAATATTCATGATTTACCTATTACATCACATATCTATTTTTAACTATACGTGTATATCTATTTTTGGTCTGCCATTAAGTCTAGTGGCGTGGTTTCGAACTCCCGCTTGCACGTGACAAGGAGTAGGGTCGCCTGTCTAGCCTAATGGGTTTTCTGCGGGTCCCCCGGTTTCCTCCCACTGTTAAAGACATCTAACTGACCCCGATAATGTTGACAATTTAAGCTGTACTTTAGTCTAAGTGGATAAGATGCTGGCTCGCTAGCCTGGAGGTCGGGTGTTCGATCCCTGCATTGGCCGAGAAAGTTCATCCAGATTTTCCGGCGTGGTTCCCCCTTGTCAGTGATGCAGGACGGAGGGCCTGACAAGGACAGCTGTCTAGTCGTTCGGATGGGACGATAAACCGAGGTCCCGTGTACACATTAGCGTGCACGTAAAAGATCCCTTGACAGTTATAATTCGATATAAGAGTAGGCCGTAATGCCGCTGTCCGGGCAATATTTCCCTCATAGCACACTGTATTAGCCCAATTCGGAGCAGAACAGTAGGACGTTAAACCCCATTTCATTTCATGTCATTTCTGTGTTCATATTTTAGTTTATGTAAATTATTATAAATTTTCAGGTTTGGACAAAGAACAGAAAGTGAAAACATTATTAATTCAATTTACTGAATTACGGAAATGAAATGGGGTTTAACGTCCTACTGTTCTGCTCCTAAACTGGGCTAATGAAGACGGACCGCAATTACGGACAAGAGATGATTGTTAAACTATGAACTATGAGGCAGGCATGTTTAAAACTAATTTTAAAAACAATAGATTTCAATCGATCTTACAAGCAGTATTCTTGATTAAATGGCCGAATGGTTAGCACGTGCGCGCTGTATCATGAGGTCTGTCATTGAGTCAACTGGCGTAGTTTCGATTCCCTGGTTGTACGTGGCAAGGAGTAGGGTCGCCTGTCCAACCACGTGGGTTTTCTCCAGGTCCTCCGGTTTCCTCCCACTGCTAAAAAACCCTTCGCGCAACCGAATTATTGAAACAAAATTGAAACATATGTTAGTCTCGAAATGACGTAGTTTGGTGCCGAGTGGACGTTAAACCCCATCTCTCTCTCTCTCTCTCTCTCTCGCTCTCTGTCTCTTGAGAGCGTTTATCAACTTTCCTTTTAAAAAACTCCACAAACTTTATCGAATATTTCTACTGGGTTCAACCAAAAGGTTAACTATTTGCCTTATACGTGATAAATATCTACCGTAACTTATTTCGCCTTTGACAGTTCATATTCTAATTTATGCCAAAATAGTTTATGATTGATTTGAATATAATCTTGTCGGTTTATATAAGTTTTTATTGGTTCAGTTTCAATGTCTTCAAATTTTGTTGGACTGTCAAAAAGCACGAGAATAACTTTACCAGCAATTTGATGCCCCATGTAAAATTCTTCCATACACCATTCCCTGTCTAAAATACTATCATCTAATATAACTAGAATATTCCTACTAGATGCCATGGCGTTGGTAATCACGTCTGCTATACTATCACCAGGGATGTCATCTTTAGGCGGATAATAACACGTCTTTTTAAAGTTCTCTAGTTTAGGTAAAAGCTTTTTTGTAACCCAGCCTATTATTTTAAGATTTTGTCTGTTTGACGAAATATATACATCAGTAGTAAAGACTGGTTCGACCTCCTGAATATCGAATGGTTTTTTTTGTTTCGGTTTATCAAAGGGTCGAACTCCAAATATATGATACAATAGAACACTCGTTTCATATTTCCATTTATAAACCACTACGACAGATATAATAATTACAGATAATAAACAGCCTAAAAAAAAGCAGGCTATTAATAGTTTGTCTCTATAACATGTTAGACTATTGTATGTAACTGAATGTATATACTGTACATTACCATCCACAGTACATGTCAAATTATTTCCGTTTATTTCCTTTAACCATTCATTCATCCACAAAGTGTCACAAGAACAGACTAAAGAATTGTTCTCTACTCGAACATCAGATAACGGTAATCTTAGATTTCGCAATGTGATAGGCAAAGAAGTGAGGAAATTGTTACTTATATCTACGAATTTCAATATTTTACTGTCATCAAAGAATTTAGGATGGATGGATGTTAGTCTATTATGAGAAACATCCAATCGAGTTAAAGCATGAGCGTACCTTCTTGTGACTATTTTTTCTATCTGATTGCCAGAAACATTTAAAGAAATCCGTGGGTATTTTGGTAGTCGGTCTGGTAGTTCTGTGAGATTTTTGACCATACTGCAGTCAACTGCTAATAAACTCTCTGCAGGCCGATCCTGACATAAACATCCCATAGGACAATCTTCACTTATATTGCAAATTAATTTATCCGTATTTTCCATTAAATAGCCGAACGATCTGTTTTGTAGATCTGGTGGATCTTGGCAATAAATATATTCTCTGGCTTGGTCTGTGTAGACGCTGTTATGCACATTATGAGCAACATTGTAAAGTGAACAATCACAAAACCACGGATTATTTTTTAATTCTAGGCGTAAAATTGCTAAATCCGATGGCGTATTAGCATTTAATGCCTTAATACAACCTGCTGCATCTTGAAGATTGTTAAAAGTTAGATCAACTTTAAAATTCTTCTGTTGCCCCGGTTCCATTCCAACAGCTTTTCTGAAATACGATATGTTGTTATGTGACAAATTGAATGTATATCCCTCGGTGGATATGAAATTGAAACTTAATGATGATAGATCTAAATCTATAGGACAACCTGATACATCGCCAGGGTTTATAGACCTGGTTCTATAAGGCCAAGAGTCGAAATACTCCAAATTATTAAAAGAAATGTCAACGTTTTTCAGATAAACTAAACCTTCATGAAACAGTTCCGATCCCATGAAACTTATTTGATTCCGCGAAGCATCAAATGTCTTAATCCTCAGCACCTCGCCTTGTCTCCCCAATAATCCTGAGGGTAGCTGTTTAATATGGTTTCCACTTATGTCTATTGTTTGTAAACATTTGGCATCCATAAAGACGTCCTTGTCTAAAGAGGAAATATTATTAGAAGATAACAGGATACTTCTTAGTTTCGGTAAGGCCGTAAAGAATGACCTTTGAACCTGTTGGATATGATTATAACTTAAATCTAAATGTATTATATGATGTCGTATTGACGTTAATGAAGATGACAATAAAGTTTGTAAATCTGTTATAGAGTCATTTGACAAATCAACGTCATAAAACACATCCACGCCGGAGAGATTGCTTGGAAGGTCATGACGGTAAAGTTTAACCACCTCCGGATTATCGTCACACCCACAATCATCGCTTGATACTACCAGATGAGATATCATGGAGAAGCACGTTAACAACAACACGTAAATCCAATCCATGGTTAAATCCTATAATCCGATTTTAAAATGAATCACAAAAACTTCTTCTGGGACTCTACGCTCGCTTCCACCTAGGGATATTTCGTAGACAAGCAATGGCAATTAAACGTATATCAAGCATTTACAAGGTTATTATTGACAATGAACAGAGTGTTAGCCATTTCGTGTCATATGTGAAGCACGCTGTATATCATAATCACAAAGTTAATACACCTCACAAAAGTTGAATCGTTTGTAAAGTAATCATAACGTGTATGGTATAGTAAATTGTCGAACACTTGATTTCTGTATAATAAATTTGTTACTATATATACTATACTATACGGACACAGATCACTAAAGATTTCCCCATTGACTCCAATGTTAATTCTCGTATCTTAGACCGGCTCTAACTTTTCCCAAATTTTCGTTGGGTAGAACGCTTTCTACCACAGATGGAGCAACATGTGGCAACCACTTGCCCAAAAGCACGTATGAGGTTCTTCATGAAAAACTTGAGATACACAAGCTGGAAGTAGAGACAAATAAACATGCAATTTCAGGCCCTACATTTCAACCTAACCAACCTCTCAACTCTTGTATCCTTCCGCATCAAAATTATGAATATTCACCAAAACCTGGCAGAAAATGTATTTTCAAACCCTTTTCCTGGATTCTACACCAAAAAGTCAACAAAAATCGCCATGCAAAAGGGGGAAAAAGGAAAAGGGAGAGGAAGACTAAAAATAGCTTTGGACGGCGTAGGCGGCGTAGGAATATTTGGTGATCTGTGTCCATACTCAACGTATGGTTTCTTATTTACTTCCGTCTTTGTTTATATCCCTGCATAGTGAATATACATGTACTATGCAATTGTAACCCAGTTCGTATACTTATCTATATTCCAGGCTATTTAACATCAAATTAAAGTCTTTTAAATTGTCTTAATTAGATCCAATAGTTACAACAAAGGCACATACAGTGAATTAAACAAACATGAGTCCAATATCATCCCGGAAGAATAAACTTGTTAAAACTCTAGTACGTAATGCGTCAAATGGGTCAGCAGGATACATATATGTCAACCCGCTCTACATTATGTTGATATTAAAAATAGATAAAATTGGCCCTGTTATGATGTTCCAGTTCGCGGAGAGAGAGAGTAAAGTAATTTAACAATCAGTAATGATCTGTTGACAATTTGGTTGGTATGATGCCGTTCTGTAGTATAACTGTCTGAAAAGAAATGAAATGGAATGGGAGAGAATTGGACACAAACTAGGTCATTTCGGGACTAACACATGATTCAATTGTCTTTAGCAGTGGGAGGGCAGGCGACCTTACTCTTTGTCGAAACCACGCCAGTTGACTCAAAGACAGACCTTATGAGACACCGCGCACGTGCTAACCATTCGGCCATCTAACCCCCAGAGAGAGAGAGAGAGAGAGAGAGGGGAGAGAGAGAGAGAGATGTGGGTAATGTCCACTCAACACCAAACAGATTATTTCCATTAATCACTTGCGCGTAGGGGTATTTATTTAGAAGTGGGAGGAAACCGTAGGACCCAGAGTATACCCACGAGGTTGGACAGGCGACCCTACTCCTTGTCATGTGGCAACCAAACTACACTCATGTGAAATAGAAATGTATGTTTAATGTTTAGCATTTGAAAAAAAACTGATATAAAAAAAAAATAACAAGAAAATAGAAGAACATACTTTATATCTACAATTTCATTTATATAATATTTAATAACTAAAATATATAATATTGTTATAAATACTGTACTGTAATCTATAGAAATTATAATATGTAATATATCATTTCTTTAAAGCTAAAGTATTTCTATATACATTGGAATAGCTTTTCATATAAAAGACACACAAAAATAGAAGAACATATTTTTATATCTACAATTTCATTTATATAATACTTAATAACTAAATTATAATATTGTTATAAATATTGTATTCTAATCTATAGAAATTGTAATATGTAATATCATTTCTTTAAAACGTAAATCATTTCTATATACATCGGAATACCTTTTAATATAAATACATACAATCACGCATTGGTCCTATAAGGGTAAGTTAAAGATACATTATGGGAAATTAGATAACGAGTTGGCAGTTCTCACTATAATAGTTAAAAGAAAGACCTGCAATAAACAGATTTAGCTCTTGCATAATGTATGTTTAAATATATAAAATATTCATGATTTACCTATTACATCACATATCTATTTTTAACTATACGTGTATATCTATTTTTGGTCTGCCATTAAGTCAAGTGGCGTTGTTTCGAACTCCCACTTGCACGTGACAAGGAGTAGGGTCGCCTGTCTAGCCTAATGGGTTTTCTGCGGGTCCCCCGGTTTCCTCCCACTGTTAAAGACATCTAACTGACCCCGATAATGTTGACAATTTAAGCTGTACTTTAGTCTAAGTGGATAAGACGCTGGCTCGCTAGCCTGGAGGTCGGGTGTTCGATCCCTGCATTGGCCGAGAAAGTTCATCCAGATTTTCCGGCGTGGTTCCCCCTTGTCAGTGATGCAGGACGGAGGGCCTGACAAGGGCAGCTGTCTAGTCGTTCGGATGGGACGATAAACCGAGGTCCCGTGTACACATTAGCGTGCACGTAAAAGATCCCTTGACAGTTATAATTCGATATAAGAGTAGGCCGTAATGCCGCTGTCCGGGCAATATTTCCCTCATAGCACACTGTATTAGCCCAATTCGGAGCAGAACAGTAGGACGTTAAACCCCATTTAATTTCATGTCATTTCTGTGTTCATATTTTAGTTTATGTAAATTATTATAAATTTTCAGGTTTGGACAAAGAACAGAAAGTGAAAACATTATTAATTCTATTTACTGAATTACGGAAATGAAATGGGGTTTAACGTCCTACTGTTCTGCTCCTAAACTGGGCTAATGAAGACGGACCGCAATTACGGACAAGAGATGATTGTTAAACTATGAACTATGAGGCAGGCATGTTTAAAACTAATTTTAAAAACAATAGATTTCAATCGATCTTACAAGCAGTATTCTTGATAAAATGGCCGAATGGTTAGCACGTGCGCGCTGTATCATGAGGTCTGTCATTGAGTCAACTGGCGTAGTTTCGATTCCCTGGTTGTACGTGGCAAGGAGTAGGGTCGCCTGTCCAACCACGTGGGTTTTCTCCAGGTCCTCCGGTTTCCTCCCACTGCTAAAAAACCCTTCGCGCAACCGAATTATTGAAACAAAATTGAAACATATGTTAGTCTCGAAATGACGTAGTTTGGTGCCGAGTGGACGTTAAACCCCATCTCTCTCTCTCTCTCTCGCTCTCTGTCTCTTGAGAGCGTTTATCAACTTTCCTTTTAAAAAACTCCACAAACTTTATCGAATATTTCTACTGGGTTCAACCAAAAGGTTAACTATTTGCCTTATACGTGATAAATATCTACCGTAACTTATTTCGCCTTTGACAGTTCATATTCTAATTTATGCCAAAATAGTTTATGATTGATTTGAATATAATCTTGTCGGTTTATATAAGTTTTTATTGGTTCAGTTTCAATGTCTTCAAATTTTGTTGGACTGTCAAAAAGCACGAGAATAACTTTACCAGCAATTTGATGCCCCATATAAAATTCTTCCATACACCATTCCCTGTCTAACTCACTATCATCTAGAATAACTAGAATATTCCTACTAGATGCCATGGCGTTGGTAATCACGTCTGCTATACTATCACCAGGGATGTCATCTTTAGGCGGATAATAACACGTCTTTTTAAAGTTCTCTAGTTTAGGTAAAAGCTTTTTTGTAACCCAGCCTATTATTTTAAGATTTTGTCTGTTTGACGAAATATATACATCAGTAGTAAAGACTGGTTCGACCTCCTGAATATCCAATGGTTTTTCTTGTTTCGGTTTATCAAAGGGTCGAACTCTAAATATATGATACAATAGAACGCTCGTTTCATATTTCCATTTATAAACCACTACGACAGATATAATAATTACAGATAATAAACAGCCTAAAAAAAAGCAGGCTATTAATAGTTTGTCTCTATAACATGTTAGACTATTGTATGTAACTGAATGTATATACTGTACATTACCATCCACAGTACATGTCAAATTATTTCCGTTTATTTCCTTTAACCATTCATTCATCCACAAAGTGTCACAAGAACAGACTAAAGAATTGTTCTCTACTCGAACATCAGATAACGGTAATCTTAGATTTCGCAATGTGATAGGCAAAGAAGTGAGGAAATTGTTACTTATATCTACGAATTTCAATATTTTACTGTCATCAAAGAATTTAGGATGGATGGATGTTAGTCTATTATGAGAAACATCCAATCGAGTTAAAGCATGAGCGTACCTTCTTGTGACTATTTTTTCTATCTGATTGCCAGAAACATTTAAAGAAATCCGTGGGTATTTTGGTAGTCGGTCTGGTAGTTCTGTTAGATTTTTGACCATACTGCAGTCAACTGCTAATAAACTCTCTGCAGGCCGATCCTGACATAAACATCCCATAGGACAATCCTTACTTATATTGCAAATTAATTTATCCGTATTTTCCATTAAATAACCGAATGATCTGTTTTGTAGATCTGGTGGATCTTGGCAATAAAGATATTCTCTGGCTTGGTCTGTGTAGACGCTGTTATGCACTTTATGAGCAATAATGTAAAGTGAACAATCACAAAACCACGGATTATTTTTTAATTCTAGACGTAAAATTGCTAAATCCGATGGCGTATTAGCATTTAATGCCTTAATACAACCTGCGAAATCTTGAAGGTTGTTAAAAGTTAGATCAACTTTAAAATTCTTCTGTTGCCCCGGTTCCATTCCAACAGCTTTTCTGAAATACGATATGTTGTTATGTGACAAATTGAATGTATATCCCTCGGTGGATATGAAATTGAAACTTAATGATGATAGATCTAAATCTATAGAACAACCTATAGGGTTTATAGACCTGGTTCTATAAGGCCAAGAGTCGAAATACTCCAAATTATTAAAAGAAATGTCAACGTTTTTCAGATAAACTAAACCTTCATGAAACAGTTCCGATCCCATGAAACTTATCTGATTCCGCGAAGCATCAAATGTCTTAATCCTCAGCACCTCGCCTTGTCTCCCCAATAATCCTGAGGGTAGCTGTTTAATATGGTTTCCACTTATGTCTATTGTTTGTAAACATTTGGCATCCATAAAGACGTCCTTGTCTAAAGAGGAAATATTATTAGAAGATAACAGGATACTTCTTAGTTTCGGTAAGGCCGTAAAGAATGACCTTTGAACCTGTTGGATATGATTATAACTTAAATCTAAATGTATTATATGATGTCGTATTGACGTTAATGAAGATGACAATAAAGTTTGTAAATCTGTTATAGAGTCAATTGACAAATCAACGTCATAAAACACATCCACGCCGGAGAGATTGCTTGGAAGGTCATGACGGTAAAGTTTAACCACCTCCGGATTATCGTCACACCCACAATCATCGCTTGATACTACCAGATGAGATATCATAGAGAAGCACGTTAACAACAACATGTAAATCCAATCCATGGTTAAATCCTATAATCCGATTTTAAAATGAATCACAAAAACTTCTTCTGGGACTCTACGCTCGCTTCCACCTAGGGGTATTTCGTAGACAAGCAATGGCAATTAAACGTATATCAAGCATTTACAAGATTATTATTGACAATGAACAGAGTGTTAGTCATTTCGTGTCATATGTGAAGCACGCTGTATATCATAATCACAAAGTTTATACACCGTTTTACTTTCGTCTTTGTTTATATCCCTGCATAGTGAATATACATGTACTATGCAATTGTAACCCAGTTCGTATACTTATCTATATTCCATGTTATTTAAAGTCCTTTAAATTGTCTTAATTCGATCCAATAGTTACAACAAAGCGACAAACATCAGTCCAATCATCCCGGAAGAATACACTTTGTTAAATGGGTCAAAAACCAACAGTATATGTCAACCCGCTCTAAACTATGTTGATACTAAAAATAGCCAACACCACCCCTTGTTATGTGGCAACCAAACTGCACTGATGTGAAATAGAAATGTATGTTTAATGTAATTCTTATTTGAATGGTAATAATATCAGATCATTTCTCGACTAACATCTGGTTCAATTTTATTTCAATAATTCGCTTACGCGTAGGGGTCTTTAGCACTGGGAGAAAACCGAAGGACCTGGGGAAAACCCACGGAGTAGGACAGGCGACTTTACTACTTGTCACGTACAAGCAGGGTATTCACTGAATGACAGACCTTGTGATTCTACGCGCAAGCATTAAACCACTAGACCCCACCCCAGCCGCCATATGTCTCCGAAAATCCTTCATGTAAGTGTGGCTACTACATGGAAAATATTGAACACTTTTTCTTTTTTTGCCCACTGTACAAGGAAGAACGAATCCGTACCATCGATAAACTCCCCTACCATTTCCACAATATTTCAGCAATTCTTGACGGATGCCCGAACGTAAACGATTGTGAGAACCGGAATGTTTTGAAATTGTTCATTCGTATATTAGTGCTACAAAAAGATTCAAACTGATAAAGTAGTGATGTAGTCGATTAAAAACCCTAAACGACCACCACCCACCCCCTACCCCGCTCCCACCCCGCCCCTCCCAGAGGATGAGGACACACGTTGAACATAATGATGCCACGGTGACAGTAATGACCCGATATTATACATATTTTTTATGTAATATATTAAAATTTTCATGCAAATTTATTTTGTTTCATTATTCTGGAGACGGATTAATATAAGCTTTATAGCTTGTTTCCCAATCCAAATAAATTATTATGTATTGTATATAGTATGTAATATATGGTAAATAAATATTGTTTAAACCATATGGATAGAGACACACACTGAGGACTAACATATGGTTCAATCGCGGAATCGAAACCACACCACTTGATCCAATGACAGATCTTGTACAATAGAAATGTATATTATTTGAATGATATTAATATACAATTCATTAAAATGTTAAAACTATATTATTATATTCTACTGAACAGAATAAATGATATCAGAGTATTGACTCGATATTTTACGGTCTGCGATCAAAAGACTATCTGTTTGTGTTCATCTACATTTCTTTTGTGGTTTTATTAAGAGCTAGAACAATATAGGCTGTCTCCATATCTGGTGATCGACAACCGAGGAAGAATGAATGGAAGTATAGAATTGTCTATTATGTACGCTATGAATGGCAGAGTCAAAGAGAAGTACACGGGTATTCATGTGTTCGTGTTGTCTTGGAGAATCCTGCGTGACAAAAGCCTGGAAAAGAAGAACCAGTTCCAAGTGGAATTGATACTGGATGATCTATAGATAGGTGGGGGTGTTGGGAGGATTCGCGTCCATTTTATAACAGCCGAAAGCAGAATCGGGATTTAATTAGCCACCAATAAAGCCATTAAGTCTTATTTGCATTGTTCAGTCAATATCTAATATATGGAGGGGATCACGTGGCTAAGTGGGTAAGACGCTGGCTCGCTAGCCTGGAGGTCGGGTGTTCGATCCCTGCATTGGTTGAGAAAGTTCATCCAGATTTTCCGGCGTGGTTCCCCCTTGTTAGTGATGCAGGACGGAGGGCTTGACAAGGACAGGTGTCTAGTCCTTCGGATGAGACGAACAACCGAGGTCCCGTGTATACATTGGAATGCACGTAAAAGATCCCTTGGCAGTTGGAATTCGATATAAAAGTAGGCGATAGTGCCGCTGCCCGGGCAATAATTTCCTCCTAGCACACTGTATGGTGTATGCCAGTCTTCATTAGCCCAGCATAAGAGCAGAACAGTAGGACGTTAAACCCCATTTCATTTCATTTCATTTCATCAAATATACGGATTATACTCCGTATACTCAAATTGACCATTTTACATTAAATTAAGAAAACAAAACTTAAATCTTCCCCGCTTCGATTCGTTAGATTTAAAAAGAGCCCTAACAAAACATTTTGGGTGACGCTAACTTTTTTTTATACCGTGTGCAGATAGTCTGTTAAATATACATGCAGGTCTTTCTGTAGGTCTGATATGTTATATAAGTTATTAAACATACATTATGCAAGAGCAAAATCTGATTATTGCAAGTCTTAATTTAGGCTTCAGATATTATAGAAATTATAAATTAGATCTTTATTTAAACAACAAGCCCAAAATCAACTCTGTAGACCCACGGATGGCTCGGCTACAGCTCGGATTTAAATAAGATTTCACTTATTAATTAATTCAAATATGGCGCATCCTGATGAGAATACGTCAGTTAGATCGAGGCTAAATGATAGAGTGTACTTAGCGAGGCCGCTGTAGAGCGTTTCCGCATGCCATTGAAAACTTTACTTGATAATCGAGATATGTAGGTGGAGTTAACGCCTGTCAATCAAACGATCAGCCAAGGTGAAGGCACATTTCACTACCATTTCTAGTCAAATATTACAACGATGATAACTATGTTCAGAATAAAGTAATTTGACTGAAAATTTCACTATATTCTTCTTTCATCATCTACTTTTGAACTGTTATAGCAAGAATGGCCAATTCTCTATAAAAATCTCCCATAATGTATCTTTAATTAGACAATTATTAACTTATAAAGATCATAATCAACTCTCGATTCCATCGGATGCTCTAGATTTATAACGGATTTAAACACGATTGGCAGTTAAAGATTTAATTAGAAACTGGATAATCGATACTATCGTAACAACAGTAGCAATGACAATCGAGACTTCGTTATTCTCCAAACAGCCCAAACGTTGCTCAGAATGAAGTATTTTGACTGAAATTTTCAAGATATCTCCTTCTTTTCTACCAATGATGTTGGTTATTACTCAATCCCCAGAAACCTTCTAGGTCAAAACCTGGCCTCCAATGGGGTTGGTAATACTCAATTCTACGTTCAATCAATTGAAAGAAAACAAGCCCAAACGTTTTAAACTGGCAGTAAAATGCGGTACTAGCAGAGAACAGACCATTGTATAATACACAAGGGAACGGTTTTTAAGGGGAGCCATATCGCTAGCTGTATTCATCCCATCTAATCTGAGTCATGGGAGAGAACAAAAGGTCCGTTGTATAATAGCGACACTAAACTTGTTGATTAACTGAATCACTTGTTACAATTATTTCAAAATACACACAGTGTATAGTTTCATAGACAAATAGCTGGTGGCTCAGTGGGTGAACGTTGGTTCACTAACCTGGAGGGCTCGGGTTCGATCCCTGCGTTGAGTGGAAATGAAATGGGGCTTAACGTCCCACTGTTCTGCTCCGACTTGGCTAATGAAGTCGATCATACGCCACACATTGTGTTATGAAGAATATTTTGCCTGGGTAGTGGCACTATGGCCTACTTTTGTATCGCATTCCAACTGCCAAGGGAACTTTTACGTTCACTCCAATGTATACACGAGACCTCGGTTTTTCGTCCAATCCGAATAAATAATAGTACGTTAAACCTCATTTCATTCATTTCCGAAAATAGTTGAATTTGTAGAGCGAAAATTTCGACTGAATGGTATTGTTCAGACGTAGGCCTACTCAATTTTATTGACATGTACGTTCAATACTGTGCGTCGTGTTATAGTATATTGGGTCTGCGGTACATCCGTGGATATGACCCTGGCTCACTAAGGTGGAAATTCCGAGTTCGATCTTACTGGCGCATTAACGAGGAGGTCTCAGGGTCGATCCCGGTTTTGGTGGAGTTAGTTCCTCGGAATTTTTCAGCCTGGTTCTCCATTGCTAGTGATGTGGCTCCGTGTACACCATTAACATCACGTTAAATATCACATGGAAGTTGTGGCTAAGTGAGTCAAACGCAAGCTCGCTAGAACGGAGGTCCCCTGTGGTGCAGGACGCATGGCTTGCCAAGGGACAGTTGTCTAGTCGTTCAGATGGGAGGAAGAACCGAGGTCCCATTGGCGTGCACGTAAAAGATTCCTTGGAAGTAGAAATTCGATATAAGCCAAGGTCGGTCGTAGCGCCGATGTTCAGTCAAAATTTCCGTCATAGCACACTGTATAGCGTATACCCGTCTTCATTAGCCCAGAGGGGGGTTGGATGGCCGAATGGTTAGCACGCACGCGCTGTATCATACGGTCTGTCATTAAGTCAACTGGCGGGATTTCGATTCCCCTGTTGTATGTCCTCCGGTTTCCTCCCACTGCTAAAGACCCCTACGCGAAAGCGAATTATTGAAATAAAATTGAACCATGTGTTATTCCCGAAATGACCTAGTATGTGTCGAGTGGACGTTAAACCTCATTTCTCTCATTAGCCGAGTGGGGGCAGAACAGTAGGCCGTTAAACTCCATTCAATTTCATTTCATAAAGGGTGGACGCTCGCTTTCGGTCACCGTCGTTTTTGGGTACATAGGTTCAATACGTTTGGACTGGTGCTAGCAGGACCTAACTGGTCAGGGTTAGAGATATACATACTGCTGATGCCGATACCTCCGTGGCCTGATTTAACTCCTTGTTACATGTTCAGCAAACAAGTTTCAATTGTTTAAAGAGAATTGACAAGATGAATATTATCATATTTATAATATTTATAAATATATAAAATAATAATACATCAATTACCCTCCCCCTTTTAATCACCATAGATTTCTATACAGGTTTTATAATATCACTTCTCCCATAATGTAACTTAAATTGATCGAATAGTTCACAATACGCCTCATATACCAGAACAAAAGATAACTCGAGTTGCAAGCAATAAATTTACAACAACAATACCAACATTGAATACATGAAAACAATAGAGAATATTACATAGTTTTCGTGCCATTGTATTCGTACTAGCATTATTGTCCAAACACACCGTGTTCACAATAAGTCGCGCTATCTGATGGTAGTTGAATAGCATAGTGAACAATGCAAATCGCAACAGCTT